CCAAGCCCTTCTACCCTGCGAGAAAGCTAAGTGGGTAAAGATCCCTCTGGAAGGAGAATGACCTGTGCATCACCTGGCCCTCTCGAGTCACGATGCAGGGTTTATCGCTATCATTTATCTTTATCTGAACATCAATATAATTAGCTAATATTAGAAAATCAGTGCAAGTATCAGCCACATACAGGTCAATGGCTGATAATTGCACTGATTGCCTCCATTAATGGCAAGTGAAAGGTGGACTATGTTTTTCTCATATTCAGATAAAAACTTCGCGGATAGAACTGCTACTGACGACAATCTATCATAATTTGAACAAACGGCTCGTTTCTTCGCAACATATCGACACTGACAAGTCGATATCGTTATTATTGAGTTTTTTATTAGGAACCTATGATAAGTGAGTTCTTAGTGGTCTTACGTATTTGACGAACTTACCTCAAAAGATTCTTGGAATTCGAGTACTTTCTTTCGCAGGCAACAAACCGGTCGATTGACAGTGTTTTCGATAAAAATAGCTTTGGCGACAATATGCGCCGGAAAACTAGTGGACAAGTTGAGGTGTGAGTAAACTCTCCACCTTTACTTCACTCTTATTTCTTTTTGCTCTTTACGTTATATTTTGTACACCTTTTATATTCACTTTCAATAGTTTTATACTCTCGACTCTCAGTTCTTTTTTTGCGTATAAAGTAACTGTATCTCTTGAGGAGTTTTCGACTTTCAGATATGTTCTCTCAAATTTCGGATTCGTCTGGCTTTCTGGAATACGATCGATTTACTGACTTCATGCAGCAGGTACTTTTCCGAATTTATGGGATAGGTTTCCGTTATTAGCCCGAGTTAATGACGTAATTTCACTGCTTTACGGTGGGCAATACAGTGATGAGTAAAAGCGAATCTCCTACTCGAAGGCGCAGTGCTCGTTGTTCTTATGGGTAAATTTTTTTGAACCGTTGTACTTTACTGATTTGTGCGCTCCTTTTCTAAGTCGTCTTGGGGGAAAGCGGCATGAAAGCTTACATGTGTAAGTGACTCCGCCCGTACGATTATCATTGAAACCTGTCTTTGATGTCCAGATGATTCTGGAAGTGCAGCGTAGTATGGGCCACTCCCAACGATGAGTTGATCTTACAAATTTTTGCCAGATCCTAGGATATCACTATGTTTCGCGATTAAACGGGGAATACTGCACTGTTCACTCTCTACTTCCCTAATATTCAGACTTCATTGAACTTGTATTCTGGAATAGATTCCACTAAAACATTGTCTTGCGTTAGTTGATCTCTTGAATAGCACATCTGTTTGGAACCAAAGTGCCTGGCGTCTGCGTCTGACGAGCCAGCGTCGCCGGTGGGGGATGCTCATGACGTATGGTGCGAGCATCTCAGGTGATGCTGGTTTAAAATTCGGGTTCAAGGCGTCAGGTGCTCCTGGGGACAACTTCTCAACAAATTTCCTAAATGGGGATACTCCGGGGTTGCTGCCTATAGCGCGGGCACCAATACATCTCTAAATGAGCAATAAGGACGTACTATTGGTGTTCCTTGCTTCACTACCCACTGAGAGCCACATTCAAGACAAGTTTGCCTATGGAGAAAACTTCCGATCAAAACGTAGACGAAATTCCAAATATTGGGGCAGCAAGGGGTAAATATTGCCGTAAGTACAATGAAAACTCAGGCTGCATTGAAGGTTAGCAGCAATTACAAGTCGCTTTTTGAAGTTTCTTCATCGTGGTTTCCATCGATGAAATGATTGCACGGTAATATAGCCAGGCCAGTTTGGCTGGCGAAGCAATGCAAATATCATTCTTGGTACCAACGCCCGGTGTTACTGTGGTGGGCAGTATGGAGTTCGTGACCTTCCATTCTAACTCCCTCAATCAGCTTTTATCAATTGCCTTGCTTCTTTTCACCCACAAAAGGTGTTCCCGTCCCAGGATCTCTCTCTATCACTTCCCGTATCAAGGCCCAATTGTCACGGAGAAGGGTGCTTTGAATTTTTTGGCACAGATACAGGTTCGGATTACTAGATGAGTTTCCGTATTTTCAGGTATTAGCATTGACGACGGCCGTTTTTGAAGCGCCAACGTTTGGATTCTCGGAGGCTGCCGTGTCACAGTGTTTTGTGAAGGTGAATTTCCAGCCCCATTTTGCGTTTTTCTCTTTTCAATCGATTTCTTCCATTTCCTTCCCCAATTCTTCCAGGCCGTCTATGTCGATTTAGCCCTTTCTTCCTCTACTTTCTATTTAAACGTTATTTGGGCTTTCCTATTATGTGTTTTTAATAACTTCACAAGGTTCTCAGCAGTACTTGCTCTCTTACCCATCTTACGCTGTGTGGTCTTTCCCAAAAATGAGGAGTTTATGAAGAGAATCGTTATAAAGCCGCTGTCCAAACCACTACGTGCTAGAAGGGTAGGGGCGGGCTGAAGAAGTGTAAGCATAGCAGTAACAATATCAGCTAGAAGTAAACGATGCATCAGATGGAGTGGAAGATAAATCGTCGGCATGATGACCTTTGAAGCCATTGATCTTCAACTGAGTATCGGGGACAGCTTGTGCAAATTAACTTTGGCTAGAAGCCCACCTTTCTTGCAAACCCAGTTTTTTTTCTATTTTTGACGGAAGGGAAAACTAGGCGTCACCATCCGAAAAAACACCTAACAACAGCATTTCTTGAACATAGGAGCCCCGAAACTCACCTGAAGTTGAGGTGGACGCGCTTGTCTGACGTTGCCATTCATACTCAGTCCATGTGTTTGAGAGCAATCAACTGTGGCGCTGAGAGAAGAAACAAAGATGTTATTCCGTGTCACTAGAGAATTCCCAATTGTAAGGGTGATGCTGTGTGATATTTCCGCGACGAAAAGCGCTGTAGAAGTAAGGTGTGTTTTCATAAGATCTCTTACATTACGATAACGGACAGCGTTGGGGGTAGAGCATTCGCACGAAAAGCATGAGGTGCGCGTTCAAATCCCACCTGTGGTCAAGATTTCTGTCCATAACTCAGCGATTTTGTTATTACTGCTATCTCACTTTTTTGTAACGTTTCTAATGCTCATCAATCAATGATAAAGAAAAACTTTTCCCACTTTTTCAGGATCAACGGGTGACTTTGAACAACTTCCTCGACGTTTTCATGTCAGATCCATGTCCTCCTTGTGTTATGTGGTTACCCTTACTACATCGAATGGCATCCGTTGAGCACGTCTACCACCCTGTCGTTTGTGACGCTTGCCAAGTAAGTGATTCTTCAACAATGTTTGAGCGATTAGGATATACGCAAATATGGAAAAGCAAACCTTTTTGATCGGATCCTTCTGGAATGTACTTTACAGTCGGGTTATTCTCCACAGTGTTAGAGACATTTAGTGGAATAATCTGCCTTCGTAGTGCCGTGCAGGTGCAGTTCTCCATAACTTCGAGTTTTCACCTCAATGAGCGGAGTCGGTGCTCAAGAAACAGGCCGCAGGGGCAGAAGGATTTACGTGCTCAAGCGGGACTGCAACCATGCACGGATTACCAGATCCTTCGTGAAATCTGCAGTAATTGCTACTGTTTCATAGTCACAGCTGCGGGCACTGGAATTAATTCCGTGCGCGATCTCTCGACCTCGGCGTCTTGGTCATGTCTCGAGCCGCGCTGTTGACGAACCGACAGTGGTTTCTGTGATGCGCTAGCGAAACGAACGTGGCTTTGCGGAGTGTTTTTTCAACATGCTGTTTCTCTTTTCTTACTACGGGAGAGTTATACAGTTACCAGTTGCCTTTGATGTCATTTGATTGAAATTCGATATGGAAAAACTAATGGTAAGGTGCTCTCCAGGGCCAGCTGCGGCAGTATCTGCCATTGTTACCGTAACCAGAGAAAATAAACGAAACTGTGGCCTACCCTAAGACTTCCGCCTCGCTAATAGTCTCATCCTTGCTTTGGAGAGCCAGCCAGTGGCATGGTTGCTGAGCTGTTTTGTTCGGCTTTCTTGTCTTTTTTCGTGTTTCTCACTGCTTTACTCCTTGATCCAAAATCATTAGTACAGTCTTGTTCAACGCGGACGTTGGGGCATTTCAAGGGGAGGGGGGAAGGAGTGGTTTCGCGTGGGTAAGGCCTACTCTCCACCAACTGTGGTTGCTTGCCAGCTTTCACAATGGGTGGAGAACAGGCTAGCGCCGCGCCAAACCCAGCCTGCTGGAAAGTCCCAGCAACGGCGGCCAGCAAGACGGAGGCTCATCCAAAGCGTCCCACAGCCGATATTAAGATCAAATACAGAAGTGGGCCCCCATTTTCGGCTCTTTTATCTTTTCCGCTGGCATTTCAATAGGGATATACATATTTGTTTTCGAGCCACTATTGAAGAGCTGAGTTTCAAAATTGTCATCGGAGTATTACTGCTCTGATACAAAGAGCCTAAGCAGATGTTTTTTGTGGAGGGAGGAGTTCCGTCAATTTCACAGCCGCCGAGCCTTACGAGGCAGTTCTGAACGTCCAGGTCGTTTCAGCTGCCATTAGCAAAGCCCACGTTTCAGGTCCGGTCATTCACTGGCTTCCGCTACAAGTGCCAGCGGTGTTCGAACTATCAGCTTTGCCAAAATTGCTTCTGGCGAGGGCGAACCAGCCAAAATCACTCTAACGAACACGAAATGAAGGAGTACTCGAGCTACGTGAGTTGCCTCTCTACCGGATTTGGGGCTGACTTTCGATTTAACTTCATTTTGCAGAAATCTCCAACAAAGCAATTAGCACATTCAATTCACAAATCTCTTCAATGCATTCCAACAGCCAACACCAAGCAACCACCGCTCTTTGCCGAACGTCCACAACGGCCTCTTGAACTACAAAATATCGTGCCCGCAACTCCCACGACGTTACGGTGAGGGAGCAATCAATGTTTGATTCTTTGGACCAATTCATTCATAAATTTATTTTGCTTCACTCTTCACGTGTATTTGATACTGTCGCAACCCGGCTCAGGGCACATTATCGCTGGAGATTCCCCAACAGGGAGGGGCGTATTTGGGTCCGGGAAAATTATTTAGATAGTTGATTCTTCTTGCTCCAGGAACGCTATAAAGGGTGGGGGGAGGGGTGTATTCGCTTTCTGGGTCTTCTGACAGTTGTGAGAGAGCTTGTTGACCTTTCGTAGTCTTTCCTTTCCGTGTTTCATATGTGCTATATACCCTCTTCCCCTCCCTTCTACAGCATAATTCGGAGATTGGGAGAATCCAAGGAGAGGGTTAGGATGGGGAGGGAGGGTCGTACCTTCCTCGAGGTCTTTCTGTCGCACGTGCTCGATAAGGAATGAAGTGGGGGAGGGTCGCACCAACCCTCCCAAAAAAAGGGAGGGGGGGGTGGGGAAAGGCGGAACGCACTCGGCTAAAATCTATAACCAATGATGTGCCCCTATCCGCCTGTTCAGAGGCGTGGAAAGAGCCCAATCGCGGGTGTTCTTAGCCATCGTGGCGCGCTCACGTAGAAGATAGAAAACAACGGGTGGTCTTATTTACGTCTAGTGACGCCCTCCTTTTCCGCCCTCCTTCTCCCGCTGGATTGCGACTATATCAATTATAAGTATGTCGAAATTTGATAAATCTTGTGTTTTCTTCTTTGCGGGAAGTGACGAACCCCATGCCAAAGTAAGCTGAGATTTTTTTCGAACTGTTTTAGAAGAGCACCTCCGGATCCAATGCCAGATTGGCCGTCATCCCCGATCCTACTGCCCGGACAGGTATCGAACGGTGGAGCATTGGATGACGAGCACAAGCTTATCGCCAGATATTCAGCAAAACTGAGCGGTCGTGCAGATGTGCGTTGCATTTATATACTTCTCTGGCAAGCCTTAAATGGCGCACTTTGGCGAGCAGGGGGGGGGCATATCGTACTCTTTCTACTTCCCATCGACGTCTCTAACCATGTAGAGGACTATTTCATAGGCTCACGAGTGTTGACAGGATCTACCGTAGTGGCTTGACGACCCAGCTCCAGCTTCACAGGAGTTCACAGGTATCACGATGTGCAAACCGGAACTAGTATAGAAAGTGCAAAATGCCCCCCCCCTTTTGCCGAACAGCCTCCTAAAAGTCTTATGTGAACTGCTGAAACGACTGATTTCACGTTACAGTATCCTCTTGGAAACGGAAGGGACCGAGCGATGACCCATCCAGTAGATGAGAGGACGTTGATCGCTCGGTTGGAAGAGGAGAACTCACATATGATGAGGGAAATTTCGCGGTTGGAGAGTCAGGTGCGTAACCCTAAATTGTCAAGAGAGCCGCCGCAGAACTGCAGCGCATTCGACTTTTCCTTTTCTTTTTCCAGACCCTATCAGAAGATGGCCAACTTACGGGTTTACGAGAACGGAAATCACAACTGGAAGAGAAGATGTATGTGATGCAACAAAAACGGCGGGATCTAATGGTGCAGTTGGAGCAGCTCATGACGCAGTTGAATGTAAGATTGAGTTCTTTACGGTCATTGACCAGTTTCTTCCACATAATTTTGTATTTTGATTCATAATTGAGCTCCGTATGAGATAACGGGGTGTTTCCGGCTAGCAGAGACAAACTGGAGAATAAGCTAATGGGCACCGGAGGCGCATCCTCTAACTAGATTTGGGGTGCAATCGCTGGACCTTAAATCCATTTTGTGGTTGCCGTGAACAAATACATATCAATATTTGTAAATGCCTTGGGCACACATTGGTTTTTGTTTCGAAAGTTGAGTTGGGCCCGACATACCGGCCAGAAAGGCACAGTGAAATCGGGCCAGCTCTTCTCTCACCTCTCTATAGGGATGTGGAACAGTACAGTGGTCATCCGGGCACTTGATTAGGGCGACAAGGATCACGACGCGGCGATCAGCTGCTTCCAGCCTAATTTTTCCCTAATTTTCACTGCAGTTGCTTTTTTTGGGAGTTAGTTGTTCC